TCTCGCTCGCTCTCTCTCTCTCTCCCTCTCCCACACACACACACACACACACACACACACACACACACCATTTTAAAAAAAACCTTTAAAGGCCTGGAAACCAGGTGTGTCAGTACACACCCTTAACCCCACCACTTGGGTGGCAATGGCAGGCTCTGTGAGTTAGAGGCCAGCCTGGTCTATATAGCCAGTTCCAGGTCAGCCAGGGTTACAAAGTCAGAGCCTATCACAAAAAACAATGGCTGGTGCATTGGCTGGTTTTGTGAGTCAACTTGTCACAAGTTAGAGTCGGAGAGGAAGGAGCCTCAGCTGAGGAAATGCCTCCATGAGATCCAGCTGTAAGGCATTTTCTCAATTAGTGATTAATGGGGGAGGGTCCAGTCTGTGGTGGGTGGGGCCATCCCTGGGCTGGCAGTCCTGGGTTCTATAAGAAAGCAGGCTGAGCAAACCAGGGGGAGCAAGCCAGTAAGCAGCATCCTCCATGGCCCCTGCCTCAGCTCCTGCCTCTGGGATCCTGCCCTGTTTGAGTTCCTGCCCTGACTGCCTTCTGTGACAAAAAGCTATATGGAAGTGTGAGCCTAATAAACCCTTTCCTCCCCGGCTTGCTTTTTGCTCATGGTGTTTTGTTTTTTGGGGGTTTTGTTTTTGTTTTTTGGTTTTTCGAGACGGGGTTTTTCGTTGTGGCTTTGGAGCCTGTCCTAGCCCTCACTCTATAGATCAGGCTGGCCTCAAACTCACAGAGATCCGCCTGCCTCTGCCTCCCGAGTGCTGGAATTAAAGGCGTGCGCCACCAATGCCTGGCTGGTCATGGTGTTTTATCACAGCAATAGAAACCCTAAGACAGCTGGCAAGACTTCTGAGTGACAGGTTTCTGAGCTCAGCTTTCCACTTGGACAATACTGTCTGTGCCAGGCACCACCCAGCCCTGCACTACAGGCACCACCCACTCTTGCACTGCACACTGTTTTCCAGGCACCCAACCGAGCTGGTTCCATTCTGGGGAGGTGCAAAGACCGGGCTAGAATAGAGGACACACAGCCCCTGTGGCCCAGACTCTCTGTGGTTCCAGAGGCCACAGGTGTCCTGGCCTGTACTCTGAATAGTACATGGTCCCAAGTACCCCCTCTCCTGAGCAACCAAGTCCCTGTGAAATTCCCCTGGGTTAGCTTCTTTGGTTTAAGACAGGGTTTCATTCTGAAACTCAAGCTGACCTAGAACTCTGTAGCCCAAGCTGGCCTGGAACTTTCTGTGACCTTCTGACTCTGCTTCCCCAGTGTTGGGTGTGTGCCGCCACACCCAGGTTCCCCAATAGCTCACAGTATTGTACCGACAGAAGCCAAAGCCAAGCACACATGCTCAAAATTATGAAACACAGGGCTTAACCCTTGTGAGTTTGGCCCATGCAAGGTTCTCAGTTTAATTGGAAAGTTTTTGAGGTTTGTCTTTTTAAGCAAACAGAAGAGAAAGGCACCGACACTGAGTGAAATGAAAGCCTTTTCCCCTTTCTCCCCACAGGTGACTACTTGTACTCCATCTGCCTGCACATCGGTGCAGTGCACTGTCCAAACGTGCTAAAAACAAACGCTCTGGCAGGGGACATACTGCAGTAGATAAAGCACTTGCCACACAAGCATGAGGACCAGACTTGGGATCCCTAGAACTAATGTCAAGCTGGATACAGTGTGTGCATCTAAGGGGCAGCCACAGGGGAGTCACAGGAAGATGCAGGGGGTACAGTGAGTAAGACATCCCATCTTAGACAAGGCAAAAGGCAAGGGCCGACACCTGCACTGTCCTCTGATCGCCAGACATGTACCTTGATGTGCACATTAACAAACACAAAGATGAATGAATCAATGAATGAACTAGTGATCCACTCAGAAAACCAGGCAGTGGTGATGGCGCACTCCTTTGATCCGAGCACCCGGGAGACAGAGGCAGGCAGATCTCTGAGAGTTGGAGGCCAGCCTGGTCTCCAGAGTGAGTGCCAGAACAGCCTCCAAAGAAACCCTGTCTCAAAAAAAAAAAAAAAAACCAGAAAAAAAGAGAGTAGGAGTGATGGGGCCAGAGAGACGGTTTAGCAGTTAAAAACACTTGCTGTTCTTCCGGAGGACCCAGGTTTGGTTCCCAGCACCCATTTGGTGGTTCACAACTCCAGTTCCAGGGAATCCAACACCCTCTTCTGGACTCTGTGGGCACCAACATGGTACACAGACATACATGCAGGGAAACACACACACACACACACACACACACACACACACACACATCCTACAAATAAATAAATTATAGAATTATAATGAAAAACTTTAGTTTTTATAATGAAAAACAAAACCCAAAGGCCAAAGGCCCCAGAATCCAGTCAACTAGCAACAGAGACCCATTTCCTATAGCCAGCATGCCCACCGTCACCCAAACAGAGCTGAGACAGGTTTGATTATCAATGTAGGACTTGTTCACCAAGTCGACACAGCACCAAGCATGCTATTCATTCTAAGTGGAGCTTTCATGGACAGGAGGCTAGTGAATGCCTGTGGGAGAGGTCATACTGCAGTCCGTCTGTCCGACCCTCCCAACCTTCTTGCAGTGACTGGGGAAGACCACCTACCTCTGACGGTGCCTCTGATGAGGTGTCTGGGTTCTGGAAGCTGTCACCTGGTGTGGGGGTGCTGCCTCCATCCCCTCTCTGCCCCACACTCAGGGCCTGCTCCCATTTCTGCAGGGCTTCCTCAAACAGCTCCATGCCTGAGAACACGTGAGAGGAGAGAGGCTCAGGTCCCAGCGTCTCACCCCTAAGGGGATGCAGCATGACAGGGAAGCAAAGGCCACGGCAGGATCGGAACTGGGCAAGGCTGGACACCTGGGTCTTGGCTTCTCAGGACTAGTTAGTATTCAGGCCTTCACCCAGGAAGGTCTGGTCTTCTGATCAGAAAGAGCTGCAATGTAGTGACTGGGGACATGGGGTGGGACAGTAACTGAAGACTCCTAGAAGGCCATTTCCCCGCCACAGTTAGGCCCTGGGCTAGCCTCCCAGTCGAACCTTGTACATAGAGGCTCTCAGCACTTCCATCGGTGGTGGGCACAGACTCCTCCATTCCTCTGGTTTCCCATGAACCTGAGCACGCAGCTGTGGGGCTGGATGAATTGACCACTACCATCTGGGGACCAAGTATACAGAGAAGAAGTGAGGCCCTATGTGGGACCGACTAAGCCACCCCACCACCTGACCACAGGCCACAGGCCCTCCCGATACCTCCCGAGTGAGCTAGGCCAACACTCTTCAGAACAGCTTGATGATGCCCCATAGAAACTTCCCAAATGTGAAGAAATACAGATACCAAAACAGCCATGTATGAAACTTCCCGGGGCCCCAGTCCCTGCTCTACCAGTCAGACAAGGACAGATACTGCCACCTTGTTTTGGAGCCTCTCAAGTGTGGCCTCTACCTTACCACAGGAGACTTGAGGGCAAGGGTATCACCAGGGCAGAGCGAGAGCCAGGCTTAGAGCTATGGCCTGATCCTTGCTGAATGGATTCATAATAAGTTAATGAACCCAAAGCTGAGCACCAGCAAAACAGTGTTCACCTTTGTCTCCATTTTCTCTACACCCTCAGGGCCTAGCCCCATTCCAGGCACCTCCCAGGGACTTGCTCAATGTCCGATGCCCAGGCTTTCCTGATAAGGTCCTTGTCTGGCACCCACACACCATCACCCAGGCTCTAAAGCCCAAACTCACGAATGAGGGTGTGAAGGAATGAAGGGGCCTCTCTCTCATCTCCCTAACAGTCCAGAAGCTTCCCCAGGGCAGAGTCCAAGAGCATCCTGGTGGCACCTGCCCCCACACATATCCCTCCCTGGCTCCTCACCGAGGCCAGGCTGTGGGAGGAGCCTGAGTGTTTGCTGGGCTCGATGGAGGAGATGCCGCTGAGAGTGTCGTTGCTCTTGCTACTGGGGCTCTGAACCCTCCGACTGGAGTAGCCTGTGAGGAGAAGGGTGGACCTTGCATGCATCCTCTACCTGGACCACCCTCCCCATCCTCATCTTTCTGATGACCTGACCTAAGCCACAACACCAGCAGATCCCCCTGAGTGTGTACACTTAGCAGAGGAATGGGACCCTTCCTGCGGCCTGGTGACTTAACACAGGGCCAGACTCATAGGGGGGCTCCTAATGCTGGGCCGAGCTGAGAGCAAGGCAGGGCCACTTTCCTACCTCTTGCTCAGGTTGTCTGTGTGCTTAATTGAGTGACTGATAAAGAATTCTGTTTTCCAAATGGCTCAGTAGGAAAGGGTACCTGCTGCCAGGCCCAACAGCATGGTTCAATCCTCTGACCTGCACACACCCAGCATGGCACACAAGTTCCCCCCCCCCCAGCCCACAAGAATAAACAATGTAAAAATATTAAAGGGACCAGGCTATAGCTCAGTTAGAGGAGCAGATGCCCAGCATGCAGGAAGCCTTGGGTCTGACCTCCAGCACCCCATAAACTGGGCATGGCAGCACAGGCACTGTGATCCCCGACTCAGGCGGTGCAGGTGTGAGGATGAGAAGTTTAAGGTCTGGCTGGGGAGATGGCTCAATGGGTAAAGCATTTGCCACACAAGCATGAGGACCTGAGTTCAAATCCCCAGACCCATGTAAAGCCATGTCTGTAGTCCCAGCACTCCTATGGAGAGATTCCAGCTCAAACAAGGTGCAAGGGGAATTGCAACACCTGAGATTGACCTGTGGGTGCCACACTAGCCTTGTGATGAGAAAGCTCACCCACCCACAAACACACTTACGTGCACACACACACGCGCACATACACACACACAGCACACAAAACAAACAAACAAACAAATAGGCAGAGTGTAAAAACCAGCTCAAGGTTATTCTTAGCTACAGGGTATGTTTGAGGCTAGCCAAGACTATATGAACCTGGGGGTGGAGGTGGGGATTGGTTAAAAGCGTTGCCTGCTCTTCCGAGGACCTGGGTTCACTTCCCAGGAACCATATGGTGGTTTACAAGGGGCTGTAATTCCAGCTCCAAAGGCCTCTGTGGGTGCCAGGCATACAAAGAGTTCACAGACATACCTGGAGACAAAACACCCATACACAAAAAATAATAAATAAAAGACAGAAAAATAAAAAGAATGCTCTTTCCAAAACAGGAGATGAGACAACTTTTTAAAATACTCTCTCTTCTCCCTCTCTCTCTCTCTCTCCACACACAAGAAAGAGAAACAGAGCAGGGTGTTAGTGGTGCACGCCTTTAGTCCCAGCACTTGGGAGACAGAGGCAGGCAGATCTCTGTGAGTTCAAGGCCAGCCTGGTCTACATGAGCTAGTTCCAGGATAGGCTCCAAAGCTACAGGGAAAACCTGCCTGGGGGTGGCGGGGACACAGGAGTTGGGATACAGCTCATGACAAGATTGTGCTAAACACACACAGCGCTGAAGCAAGGGAAAGGGAAAAAAGGGTGAAACAAAAACTGGAGGTGGCGGGACTGGAGAGATGGCTCAGAGGTTAAGAGCACTTGCTCTTCCAAAGGTCCTGAGTTCGATTCCCAGCAACCACATGGTGGCTTACAACCATCTATAATGAGATCTGGTGCCCTCTTCTGGCATTCAAGCATACATGTAAGCAGAATACTGTGTATATAATAAATAAATAATAATAATAAAAAAACAAAAAACAAACAAACAAAAAAACAGGAGGTGGCTTGGCCAAGCACATGAGGTAGACAGGTGTGTTAGCACAGCACCTGGGCCAGCAGAGCTGGCATCACTTCTCCGGCTCCCATTCTGTAACAGTCTAAAGACTCTGTCTCCAACTGTCAGGACAAACAGCATCTGCAAGGGCAATGAGCTATTAAAACTCACTGGGCTAAAGTCAGGCTCTGCTTCAAAAACGAAAACAAACAGGCTGGAGTGATGGCTGGGTGCTTAAGAGCATTTACTGCTCTTGCAGGGCCCAGGTTTTGTTTCCAGGCCTCCCATGGCAGCTCACACCATCTCTTAACTCCATACAGGTGGTCTAGTGACCTCTTCTGACCTCCACAGTCACACAGTGGACATACATACAGGCAGGCAAAGCACTCACACACATAAAATAAACAAATAGGTCTTAAATAACAACAGGACTGGCAGGATAGCTCAGCAGGTAAAGATGCTTGCCACCAGGCCGGGCATTGGTGGCGCACGCCTTTAATCCCAGCACTCGGGAGGCAGAGGCAGGCGGATCTCTGTGAGTTCCCGGCCAGCCTGGGCTCCAAAGCGCGTGCCAGGATAGGCTCCAAAGCTACACAGAGAAAACCTGTCTCGAAAAAACAAACAAAAAACAAAAAACAAAACAAAAAAAAAAGATGCTTGCTACCAAGCCTGATGACCTGAGTTTGATCCTTGGGACCCATGTGATGGCAGGAGAGAACCAACTCCCACAAGCTGTCCTCTGAGCGCCTCATGCATACCACGGCATATACACCATAAATAAATAAATACAAATAAATAAACAAAGCAATCTGAAGCCCCATTTTCTTTTCCTCATCTTCCTTGAGTTTTCTTATTTATTTTGGTTTTTGAGACAAAGTCTCACTCTGTAGCCCACGGTGGCCTTCTACTGTCTCTCCTGCTTTAGCCTCCAGTGCTAGGATCACAGGCAGACACCATCACACTTGGCTTTAACATTTCTTTTCCAAGACAGAAAATTGTTTCTCCCAAGCTGAGAACCTGAGAACACTTTGCCTTGAAAGGAGAGCAGCATGACATTGACATGTGGCAAACAGCTACTTGGGCGGTGGTTGGCTCACGCCTTTAGTCCCAGTCCTCGGGAGGCAGAGGCAGGTGGATCTCTGTGAGTTCGAGACCAGCCGGGTCTACAGAGCAAGTTACAGGACAGCCTCTAAAGCCACAGAGAAACCCTGTCTCAAAAAAACAAAAAATGCAACAAAACAAAACAAAAGACCCCAGCTACATCACTAGATTGCCAGGGGCTGTTATGAGTTTTCTAGGGCCAGCAAGATGGTGCAGTGGACACAGGCTTGAGGCTGAGCCTGAGGACCTGAGTTTGACCCCAGAACCCACATTTTGAAAGGAGGCGAGAACTTACTTCTGTAAGCTGTCCTCTGACTTGCACATGTACACTATGGTACACACCTACACACACGTGCACATATACACACACGTGTGCATACACAAAAACACCAAAATAAACTTTAAAAAATGTTTTCACATAGTGGCTTGCTTCTATGATGGCACTTTCTCAAAGCTCAGAAGGACACGCTAAAAGGGTGAATTTTACCACATGCAAATCCCTTTTTTTTTTTCCCCTAAAAAGGAGAATGTGAGAAAAACTACTGGGTTCATGAAGCCCATGGCTCTTCCTATTCCTGAGCATGGGAAAACCGACAGCCCTGGGCCCTTACCTGGTGTCCCCTAAGGTGATAAAGATGCCCAGAACCAATACTACCCACCAAGACTGAGCCCAGGGTCTCAAAGAGTGGGTCTACCATCCCTCCTCCTTTTCTGCTTCAGGAACGTGGCTGTGAGGCAGGAAGACACTGGCCCAAGACTCCACAGTGAACAAAGCTGAAACACGACAATGTCAGGGCTCCCCTACCACACACCTACCTTTCTTCACTGAAGGAACCTTGCGGGCCATGAGGATGGGCAGGGGTACTGTGCCCAGCTGCTCACCTCCCTTCTCAGGGCCCACCTGCTTCTTCTTCCGCCGGCGCCTCTTCAGCTGGTGGGCAGCCAGGGCCAAGGCCACAGTCCCAAGGGCTGTGGCAAAAAGAACCTTCCTCAGGCCTGGTGTCAACCGCAGTTGGGAGAATGCAGACTGGAGGAAAGAGACAAGGGGCCTGGTTACGTCACCTAAAGGGAAGCTCCAGGTGTGGGCAGTGTTCCTCTGCTGATCAGAAGAGTGACAAGGGACAAGGCCAGCTTCTCTGAAATGTATAAAGATAGCATAATGTATCGCTGAGAGGATGAATGGCATCCAGGGGCCCAGCCCCTCCCCCAGTGCTGGCCACCATTCTGTGACAGTCGGGGTACAGTGACAGGCACTGCACCAAGGCCTGACCTGTGTCACCTGTCAGAGTCCCTGCCACCTTCCAAATGAGGAGTCTGGGGTTCACAGCACTTAAGACATGTGTAGATGGTGACTAACACACAACTCAAACCCAGATCTGCCAGGCAGTAGTGGTGCATGCCTTTAATCCCAGCACTCGGGAGGCAGGAGCAGACAGATCTCTGTGAGTTCAAGGCCAGCCTGGTCTCCAGAATGAGTTCCAGGATAGGCTCCAAAGCTACACAGAGAAACCCTGTCTCAAGAAAAAAAAAAAAAAAAAACAGAACAAAAACCTGTCTCAAAACCCAGATATGATGACTCCATTTCCCAGAGACATCTGGAGCTAATGACATTCACTGTCCCTGATCACTCTAACCAAACAGACTCATCCTGGCCACCCTCTGCTGCTGGTCCAGGCAGAACTCCCACAGACAAACTGAAGTCAAAAGGTCACCAGTCAAAAGGGCAGGCAGATCTCTGTGAGTTCGAGGCCAGCCTGGTCTACAGAGCAAATTCCAGGACAACCTCCAAAGCAATACAGAGAAACCCTGTCTCGAAAAACCAAAAAGAAAAAACAACAACAACAACAAAAAAACGTCACCTGGCCTTAGGTGAAGACTGGGCCTTGACTCTGTTTAGGTTGTTGTTTTATTTTAATATTACATATACCATGTTCTGTCTGCATGTACACTGGTTCGCCAGAAGAGGGCACCAGATCCCATTATGGATGGTTGTGAGCCATCATATGGTTGCTGGGACTTGAACTCAGGACCTCTGGAAGAGAAGCCAGTGCTCTTAACCTCTTGAGCCATCTCTCCAGCACCAGGGAAGGTCCATCCTAATTGTGGAGGGGACCGCTACTGGGCTGGGCAAGATCCCATGTATGAAATGGAGAAACTGAGCTAAACACTGGTAAGCATGCGCTGTCAGTCTGCTTCCTGAGTGCAGTGTGATCAGCCAGCTTTCTGCTTCTGCTGCCAAGCCTACATGATGCTCTATAGCACACTGCAACTGTGAGCCCAAATACCCTCTTCCTCCCTTAAGTTGCTTTGGTCCAAGTATTTGACTACGGCAATGAGAAATTAACTAAGACACACGGTATAGCCACGATAAGGATTCAGCTCTCCCAGGTGCTGGGGACCCCTGGGTAGGACCACACCCATCTTACCTGACCAAATGTTGTGTACAGGAACACGGGTATCTCAGCCACAGTCATGGCTAGAGCCTGGATCATGGACATACCCTCAGTCCGACGGAATGCCATGGCAGGCCCAGCACCCAAGCGGGAACTCTTAGGGTAAGAGCTTCCAAGGAGATTGTCTTCAGCTGTCTCTGGCTAGGTCCTGGGCACCATCCACACACCAGCAGGACAGGGGCGCACATAACAGAAGGTCTTTCCACAGAGCTGAGGGACAGACGACCAAGTGAGTCACAGGAAGGTGCATACAGGGCTTCAGGCTGAGAGGTAGAGTGTTCATCTCCCCATGTTCAATACCCAATCCTGCCAAAAAGCCTCCAGGCCAGTGAGATAACTAAACATATAAAAGAACTTGCTGAGCAGGCCCAACAACTGAGTTCCCCAGAATCCATGGGTGAATGTGCCGTGAGCTTGACAAAAATCTAAAATTGCCTGGGTGCTGGGTTTCTGAGCACATTTATGAGGGATTAAGTATGTTAATTAAGATGGGAGACCCATCCCCAGCATTGCACCATTCTCTGGGCTAGGGATATGGACTGTATAAAAGCATGCACGTGTCCTATGCTCTCTGCCTCTTAACTATGTATGTAACGAGAGCAGGTGTTATAAGATCCTGTCATTGTGACTTCTTCCCAGTGAAGGACTGTCACCTGGAACTATGAGCCAAAACAAGGCTCTTCTCCCCTAAGTTACTTTTGCCAGGGTAGTTTATCATAGCAACAGAAATGAAACTAGACGTGGGAGGAGAGAACTGACTCCCAAAGCTGTGCTCCAGCTTCCAGCTGTGCCTGTGGTAGGTGCTCCTGCACTCATATACACATTTATTTTATTTATGTATGTGTATATGCCACAAGCATTCAGATGCTTGCAGAGGTCAGAAGAGGGCACTGGATACTTGGAGCTGGAATTACAGGCAGTTGTGAACCCCCTGACATAGGTGATGAGAACTGAACTCAGGTCCTCTGAGAAAGAAGCAAGCATACTTAACCACTGAGCCATGATTCCAGTCCTAATAAAAAATGTTTTAAGCCAGGTGTGGTGTCGAATCCCAGCACTGAGGGAGGGAAGGGGGGGGGATCAGATCTCTGTGAGTTCGAGGACAACCTGATCTGCAAAGCAAGTTCCAGAACAGGCTCTAAATCTACACTGAGAAACCCTGTCACAAAAAAAAAAAAAAAAGCTGGGCATTGGTGGTGCTCGCCTTTAATGCCAGCACCTGGGAGGCAGAGGCAGGTGGATCTCTGTGTGTTCAAGGCCAGCCTGGTCTACAGAGTGAGTTCTAGGACAATCTCCAATGCTACACAGAGAAACTCTATATCGGGGGAAAAACAAAACAAAAAACAAACAAACAAAAAACACTACCACCACCACCAAGAACAAACTGTGAGGTTTAGAGAGCTGGCTCAGCAGCTGAAAGCACTGGCTGCTCTTCCAGAAGGACAGGGTTCAATTCCCAGCACCCACATGACAGCTCACAACTGTCTTACTCCAGCTCAATGGGATCTGATACCCTCTTCTACCCTCTGAAGGCACAAGGTACATGTACGGTGCACAGTCACAAAGACAGACAGACATAAGCATGCACGAAAAACACCTACCCATACACTTTAAAAAATTTTTTTAAATGTGTACACATGAGCATGAGATGTGAACAAGAATGTCCTCAGGGGCTGGGCACCCCAGGGCACTACAGGCTTATGATCCCAGCTGCTCAGAACACTGAGGCAGGAGGGTCAAAAGTTCAAAGAGTGACTGGGCAATTTAGGCCATGACCCTGTCTCAACTTTTTTTTTTTTTAAAGCACTTGCCTATCATGTATCAGTGGGGGAAAGACAGTGTCTTCAGTGGGTGGGATGAACACTAAGTGTGAAGCTGGAATCCCAGGCCCCGGCAGTGCAGGCAGGCAGGCAGGCACAGACCCCCCTCAATAAGCCTGGGAGCAGAAGGCAGCATGTGTGGCATGCTGAGAACAGAAAGAACCCAGACACTGGGAGATAAATAGGTCACCCTCTAACTTAGGCCTCTGCACTTTCTCAGCCTTTTTAAACACACAGGCCACTTTCTAAATAAAGTTCTCAGGCTCCTGGCTGAGAACCATGACCCCCTTTCCACCAAGCCAAGAATGCTTCACTTCCTGTGGGCTACAGGACTGTGCTAATCTGAAGGTGGAGGTGGGTTTTTTGTTTGCTTTGTTTTTATTTACACTTACTTTTGAGACAGAGTCTAAAACTGTAGCACAGGCTGTCCTTGAACTCAAAATACTTCTCTTGCTTTGGTCTCATAAATGCTGAGTTTATTGTCGTGAGCCAACCGAATCCCAACTATACAGGCAGATGTTTCTCCCTGCCTTCCCCTACCTTCTGAGGAAGAAACTGAGTCTCCGGAGCTGAAGCTAGGAGTCCAAAGCAACTGAGTTGCTAAGTGGTGGAGAGAGGGTACTTCAAGGTCTAGATTCTGCTTAACACAGCAGGAGCAGGCAGGGCAGCCCCATCAGAGCCACAGAGGGCAAAGACAGTCTCCACTAGGTCTCTAAAACCCACCTTAGGGACTCCCCACGGCCCTATCCTGAGGCCAGATCAGTGGTTTGATCACATGTAACCAAGACCACAAGACCCTGCAGGCTGTTCTCACCGCTATGATTAAGTTCAAGGATGACTCCTGGATCTCCAGAGGAAGGAACATACAGGCCAGGGCAGACCCTGTATTCCTGGGATGGTGGCCAAAAGTCACTAGGCCAGCACAGGAGATGAACAAGGAACAGCTTATTCTTGGTGAGTGGAGAAGGCACACAGCCCTATCAGTCTGGCTCTGAGGCTGGGAGCAGAGGGGTGGAGGGCAGAGGCCGGGCAGGCAGAGTGAGTAGGACTAAAGAAATTGCCACATTGTCAAGGGCAGGAGACATTCTGCCTGGAGATTGTGAAGTAAGCTCCAGTCTTCACAGTTCCTCCTCTAAAACTCCAGCCTGGCTTGGCCTTGGGTGGGAGACAGGACATCAGATGACCAGGAGCTATTCTTTCCTGTGCTTTTCAACAGGCCAGAGCGCTGTGACAACTCTGAGTACAGCTGCTCTGGGACCCTCAAGGTAACCATTGTTTACCACAGGGATATACAAACTGAGGCTTTGAGAGATGAGAAGGCCCCAAGGCTGTGGCGGGGCACCCTAGCCCCTGCCTGCTGCTTGCCCATATCAATCAAACTGAAGGGCTTCAGGGCCTTGAATTTCTGAGAAGGCCACATGGAATTAGAGGGGGGCCTGTTCTAGGATCCAGGCAGGTGGAGGTGGGGATGGAGGCCTGTCATGTCTGCAGGAGAGTCCAGTTAGTGTTGACTGTGCCCATCCAGAGAATCGTCACTTCTCAGAAAGGAATGGTCGAAGCTCAACACCACCATATCCTACCTGCCTCTTACTTCTAATGCTGGTCCTGCCTGGGCGGCCAGCCGCCTATTCTGCTCTACATTCTTGAGTAGGCATGCTAAGCCATATATCCCGGCTTCCATCCCAGGCCTATCTTGTGCAAGACAACCCTACTAATGCCTCTGGCCTGAGCATTCTCTCATCCCACCTTGACATAACTATGATCCCAGACCAGACAACCCTAAGCCACCCTCTGCCTCATGTCCTGTTTTTCCCATCCCAGGACATCTCTGTGGGATCCCACGCTATCTGGCATTAGGCATCCCCAGAGTGGACATCAGCAATATCCCAAGCTTCAGCATCTGCTCCTTGCAGAGCCAGGGCAGGCACCTTCCTCTGGCCTCGACCTCCCCAAAACATCCTTGAGGTTTGTCCACATACAGCGCTGCCCACAGCCGGCACACCTGCTCCTTCCAGGCCGGGAAGCACCCCCGATCCTACTTGGATGCCCGCGGCGTTCCAGGCCCGGGAGTCTCCTCTTTGACCCAGCTCCCTTCTCGTTCCACCCCCAGAGCCAGGCATCCTCTCGCGCGCCTGGTCCAGGGGACCCACTCATCCCACCCTGGACACTTTAAAGGACAAGCTGGGCCGCGGACCCCTGCGTGGGCCGGGCTCCATGCTCCGCAAGCCTCGCTGCTGACCCCTGCTGCGACGCTAGCCTGTGCAGTGGCCGCCACTCACCCGGGATCCCATCGCTGCGGAAGGGCAGCGTCTCCTTTCCAGGCGGCAACACAACCAAACCAGGCCTCCGCTGGGGAGGGGGCGTGGCCTCAATGAGGCCCGACACTGCTAGGACCAACGAACGTCTCCCGATCGCTCCGCGCTGCCGTGGCCCTTGGCCAATGGGGCGGGCTACTCCGCCCCGCCCCCTAAGTGTGGTTGCGGTGTGGACATGGCCTCTTCTCTCTTCCGATTGGCCACCAGGATTAGACAGACACAGGAGAGTGGGGCGGGGCCACCCAAGAAGGCGGTGTTGCTAGTGGCTGCTTGGGGCTTTCTGGAAGGCTGCCGGTGCGTGCACTAGTCTCTTTTGCACTTGAGAGCCAGTTTTCAAATGCCACCGACTCAGGCTTCCCTGAAGCACTCCTTCATCCATTGCCAGTCTCTGCCTTGTTCTGTATACCGGCACCCTAGCGTTGTTGTCACTGGGATGGGCTCTGCTTTGCTTACCAAACTGTCCTATGCTACACAGACAGACGGACACAGACTCATACACCTCTCTGCAACCCCTATTTGTGTTTTTTGTTTGTTTGTTTGTTTGTTTGTTTGTTTGTTTTGGAGACAAGGATTTCTAAAGATCCATGCTTTGGAGACTGATAGATACCTTCCTACTTTTTTTTTGTGGTTTTTCAAGACAAGGTATCTCTATGTAGTCCTGGCTGCTCAGAAACTCGCTCTGTAGACCAAGCTGGCATCAAACTCAAGAGATCTGACTGCCTCTGCCTCTTAAGTGCTGGGATCAAAGGTGTGTCCCATGGCCGCTGGCCCCTATTTGTTTTAAGGCCATGGTCTCATGTAGTTTAGACTGGCCTTGAACTCATATTGTAGCTGAGGACGATCATGAATCTCCTGATCCTCCTGACTGCATCTCACAAGTACTGTGGTTACAGGTATGTGCCACATGCATTTTTATAGGTGCTATGGATGGAACCCTGCGCTTCATTATTGGAAGGGAGGCACTGTACCAAAATGAGCTACAGCCCTAGGACCTTGTTTGTTTTGTTTTTTGTGTTTTGTTTTGTTTTGTTTTGAGACAGAGTCCCATGTATACCAGGCTGACCTCTTAACTGTTAACGCCAAGGATGACGTTCAATTTTTTTTATTGTTGTTGGTTTTGGGTTTTTTGTTTTGGCTTTTGTTTGTTTGTTTTTGGAGACAGGGTTTCTCTGTGTAGCTTTGTAGACCAGGCTGGCCTCAAACTCACAGAGATCCTCCTGCCTCTGCCTCCCAAGTACTAGAACTAAAGGCTTGCCCCACCACCACCTGGCTTGTTTGTTTGTTTTTTTGAAGCAGGGTTTCCTTATGCACCCCTGGCCATCCTTTAACTCTCTCTGTAGACCAGGCTGGCCTTGAACTCAGAGACTGGCCTATCTCTGCCTCCTGAGTGCTGGGATTGAAGGCGTGCACAACCACTATCCAGAAACATTTATTGTTTTAATATCAAGAAAGAAAACTAAAAGGCTAAGAGTGAACGTTTTTGGTTTGTTTGTGAGTGAATATTTTGGTAAAAGTTTCATACATAGGCCAAAAGAGGCTGCCTCGTCCTCTGGAACTGGAATTACACCTGATTGTGAGGCATTATGTGAGTGCTGGGAATTGAACCCAGCTCTCCGCAAGAACAATATGCTGAGTTTTGCAGCTGAACCATCCATCTCTCCAGCCTCTAGTTACTGATCCTTTCTCAGTCAGTGTAAGTTACTGAATGAAGGAACAAATATGCAATTGTAAATGGCTCTTACAAGGCAGGCTAGATTCTGTTGCCTGCTACAGAGAGATATGGTAAGTGAATAATCAAGATGAACAATTTTCTTTCTTTCTTTTTTTGAGACAGGGTTTTTTGTTTGTTTGTTTGTTTGTTTTGTGCCCGAGTCACAAGGATCCCCAAAGAGACCAGGGCAACAGGGTTTCTCTTTTGGTCTCCATGGGTGCTCATATACATGTGACCTATGTTCACATATACACAAATGAAAACAACAAAAATCTTAAAAGGAGGGAAGGGCTGGAGAGATGGCTCAGCAGTTAAGAGCACTGGCTGCTCTTCAAAGACAAACCCTGTCTCCAAAAACAAAACAAAACAAAGCACTGGCTAGTTCTTCAGAGATCCTGGATTTCCAGGACTGTTTGTTCCCAGCACCTACATGGTGGCTCACAAGCCTCTGTAACTCCAGTTCCAGAGAATCTAACACCCTCAGCTGGCTTCTCTGGGCACTACACACATATGGTACATAGCATATGCAGGCAAAATACCCATACACATAAATAAATTGCTTAAATTAACAAATAAGCCGGTTAGTAGTGGCACAGCCTTTCATCCTAGCACTTGGGAGGCAGAGGCAGTTGGATCTCTGTGAGTTCGAGGCCAGCCTGGTCTACAGAGCTACACAGAGAAACCCTGTCTTGAAAAACCATAAAAACATGAGAATATTTAAAAGCAAACACAGCTTTCAGAAAATGGCTCCATGGGTAAAGAATTTACTGCACAACTTTGAGAACCCAAGTAAAAGAAGCCATGAAAACTCCAGGCATACAGTCCCCAGTCGCCATGGCCAGTGAGAAAGGAGACAGAATGGAGAATCCTTGGAATGTCTTGGGCCAGACCAACACCTGAGGTTATCCTCTGCTCTACATACATGCCCCATGCCCCATGCCCCATGTGTTTGCTAGTGCTCATGTGTACTTACGCACAGACACAGACACAAACATACAATCACACACAGAGAAAAAAAAACTTTAAAAAAATATGATTCATCTGTAATGCTTACAGTGTTTTGCCTGCATGTATGCTTATATGCCAGAAGAGGACATGCCTCATTACAGATGGCTGTGAGCCACCATGTGATTTCTGGGAATTGGACTCAGGACCTCTGAAAGAGCAGCCAGTGTTCCTAATCTCTGAGCCATCTCTTCAGTCTTTTTCTTGGTTTTTTGAGACCGGGTTTCTCTGTAGCTCTGGAACCTGTCCTGGAACTCTATAGACCAGGCTGGCCTCGAAGTCACAGAGATCTGCCTGCCTCTGCCTCCCAAGTGCTGGGAAGAAAGGCGTGAGCCACCACTGCCTGGCTAGAAAAAATATTTTAAAAAACAAGAAACAAAGCCAAATTGGGCAGAAGTGGTGGTGCATGTCTTTAAGCAGGTGGATCTTTGTTGTTGTTGTTTTGTTTTATTTTATTTTGTGTTTTGACCCAAGTTTTCTCCGTGTAGCTCTGGCTGTCCTGGAACTCCTTGGAACGAATGCTGTAGACTAGACGGGGCTACCCTCGAACTCACAGAGATCTCCCTGCTTCTGCTGGGATTAAGTACTGGGATTAAGGTTGAGTGCCATAGGTGGATCTTTGTCAGTTTCTGTGAGCTGGAGGCCAACCTGATCTACATAAGGAGTTTTAGGCCAGTCTGGGCCTACAAAGACCCTGTTTCAAACAAATAAATCCCCACAATTTTTTACCAAGTGCTTCTTTCTGCTTTAGTAAAACGTCCATTAGAGCGAGAGGCCCGCTGTT